CATGATCATCATGATAATAGATGACAATCATTACTGATTAGGATACAAATTACCAATGAATAATGTTTAATGACTATGGTTTATCATTACTAATCATCATTATCCTTACTAATTATCATTATCATTACTAATTATCAAAATTATTAGCGCTATACCAATGATATGGTGGATGGTTGCGAAATCCTGCACCAGTTGAAAACGGTGGTAAACATCCCATTATTTATATTTCAACTTTTCAACCATCCGTTTGGTGATGCAGGATTTCGCAACCATCCACAGTATCACCATATAAAAACCATAGATATCTCATTTCTATCCCATAGATATCTCATTTTCCTCATCTAAAAACCACCATTTTTGGCCGCAGCAAGGATCTCCGGTACCGCTTGCAGCGCTCCGTGCTGGGCCTCACCAGCCACACGCGCTCCGTGTGCTCCTGCGTGCCGCGCAGCCGTTGTCCAGGTGGGGTTCCCAGGGTGGGAGTGATATAACTAGCCGTACCCGCCACTGATATCTATCTGGGTAAATTATAATGACCTCACTGCGACCTCACTGGAATCATGGTTAATGAGGGAAATCATCCTCAAATGGCCTTAATCCAAGTACCTATGGATCCAAGTACCTTCTTAGGAAGTGTTCGGGGTATGATTTAGGGGCAGGAGTACCTTCTCAGACAGTGTTTGGATCCATAGGGTATGGATGACCTTTTGGAAAAATCCCAAAATGGAGGATGTCTGCCAAATTTATGCTTAAGATTTTACGGATAATGATAAACAATAAACCACTTAACTCACTTAACATTCAGAAACATCATCATAAACTCATGATTTTAAGATACTGTACTTTAAGCAGCCAAACATCGGGATTTCAAGCATCAACAATAGGGATTTCAGCAATGAATGGATACATGTGGTATGCCCTCGAATTTATGGCCAATTGAATTGGGAAAATACGGGTTGAAACAATTGGGTTTTGGTGATATTCCATGATTTTTCAAACAAACACAAACGGAGATTTTCGGGATATAGGGGCGGAAATTTAAAAAGCAAACCCCGGGAATTGAGCAAACGAACGTGGGACATCATCATCAAAATTGGCTACCAATCAGGGAAAATAATATGGTTCAAGCCAAAACCGGAGACCGGACAACGACCATGTGCGAACATGCGAACAGCATGAGCAGACGGTGGCATTTGCGTCCATCTACAACTAGGATGTTTTTTTTTTCCAAAACATAAATTAAAAGAAACATTGGTTTACGTAAAAATCAGTTCAAGCCCCTTGCACTCGGGATCTTCCCCATTGCTCATGTGGGGTTCAAGAAACATTTTGTGCGGGTCAAGTCTTTGTGCAAAACCCATTGAATCACCAATATACGGATTGGCTGGATTGTAGCCATTAACCTACATTATTTTACATTTAAAATCGGTTACAGGTGTTTGTTGTCAGACAGATCAACACATACTAAATGCGATATGAGGCATGTTCCACAAAGAGTCAACTCGATACAGATGAATACCTCAAATGATCCATGAAACAACATAGAACGTTCAGATTTTCCAGGTTCTTTGTGAACTAAGTTGAAACAACAACTATAGATATCCTGATATCCTATAGACTCATATGATTCCAGTGATTTCCAATTTGTCTTATCAAACATCCCAACCCTTCCCACCTTTCCAACAGCCAGATTTCGCTGGCCCCTGGCCGGCGCGCATTGTGGAGCTCTGCAATTCCGGAGGCGTTTCGAGCTCTTTGGGCTTCTCGCAGGAGGCGCAGAAGCTGCAGAAGTTGGGTGTGTTGGTTGGTACTAACTAAATGACTAATAGCACCAGTTGGTAACTCATGTGGTTAAAACAATAATAAACTAGCCCCCAAATCACTATAAATAGGTGGTATAAACCATCAAACATGGGGTTGTTTATTATTGTTTCAACATCATTATTAGGTAACTATGAAACAATATATGAAACACTGTAAATAACAGGGTTATGAATGGTTAAAATATGTTTTAAAATGGGCTAAACCATCTATCAACTGGTGCAGGATTTCTTCCATCCACAGTACAATTCCAATATTTATAACATGTATATATAGATATACGTATATACATACGAATATAACTATAAGTAATTAATATGAGCCAAAATAACTTTACCAACTAATTATTGATTAGCCATGGGATGCCGGATTATTTGTGATGGTATATCAATTATATTACAATGTTAGATTTCACATTCCCGCTCCAGCTCAAAGGTACGTGTCTCCCTCAAAAAAATTGCTTTTCCCTAGATCTAGTATATTACATGGTTGGGATTGCATAGGTGTATATATATATATATATGATGAAGCTCAAAGCTACCTTGCTGGCTCACTGCCTCCTTGCTAGCTCAAAGCTCAAAGCTACCTTGCTGGCTCAGTGCCACGTAGCTGGCTCAGTGCCACGTAGCTGGCTCAATACCACGTAGCTGGCTCAGCGCCTCGTAGCTGGCTCAGCGCCACGTAGCTGGCTCAATTTTTTTAGCGAAAAAAAAAAAAAAAAAACCTCGCAGAAATTGAGCCGGCTACATGCCCTTGAGCCGGCTCGCCAATGCGTCATGAACCCGGCCAATACATAGCTAGTATTCGTTTTGATGCTCTCACATTCGTCCGCCAGCTCAACGTGACGTAGCTGGCTCAATTTCTGCGAGTTTTTTTTTTTTTTTCCGCTAAAAAAATTGAGCCAGCTCGATGCCATTGAGCTAGCTCGATGCCCCTGAGCCAGCTACGTGGCATTGAGCGAGCTCGATGGTGCTGAGCCAGCTCGTTGCAGTTGAGCGAGCTCGCAGAAACTTCCCAATCTGTTAAATTGCATTAAATTGCCAGGTTCAATCCCCACTGATTACTTTAGTACTAGATATGGTACCTCTGAAAAAGCCCAAGGTGACTGTCAAAACATACCCCTGATGAAATTGAGCCAGCTACATGTTTTGAGCTAGATCGAAAAAATGGAAGATTGGGAATTCCAACATTAGATATATAATGATATTAACCAGTAACACCACTATACTGATTATTTTCATAGATCCAAGAATCGAATCCGATGTATGTATATAATAGTTAACACCCAAATCAAAGGATTTATCGTTGATTAGCAATGGGATCATATAATAGTGAATGATAATTAGTTTGGGTGTCAATTAATGTCACTCATATATTAATGAAGATCACTATTATCGTGAAATTATGAGTTATTGTTCTTTCGGGGTACCTGATTGGGTACCTATTTTTTTTTCCACATTTACCAGGTGAATCATTGGGATAGTAACGGATAGTATTATTGATTAAGACTTGGTGAATGGGACATGTACCAAACACATTGGGAATTGAGATTTTACCCACCAGAAATGTGGCTATCTTTGGGCACAGCGCACTGTGTTGGTCGGAATCGCTGAGTTGGTGCGTTTTACGCAGGGTTGCTGGATGGGTTGCTGGATGGGTTGCTGGGGGTTGCTGGGATGATGAAATTGATAGTGATGAAATGGATCATTCCCGAAAATTCCCTGCGTTTAGCATCAGTAAGTAGTTGCAGTAAAACCAACTTATACCTAGCCCGTATGCTCCATGTATGGAATATTTGCCTACATAACTGGGCAATTTTTGGGGTAAATATAGGCAAATATTCCAGCACCATGGGTTGCATCTGGGTAGGGGACACCGCCTTTCATGGATAATTGGGATTTCACTGGGCCAAATCTGGGACCCATGGGGAAGACCATGGATTTAGCCCAGTCGGCGAAGGATAGTTGGGGAAAATGATGATCAACCAATATGGGGGGTATGCCTTGATATAAATTGGACTGTTTGTGACCAGCAGGCAGCAGGGACCTTCACAAACAGTTCTTTTTTGTGGTCTGAGCAATTTTCATACCGACACTTCATTGGAATTTATATAAGAGGATTTAATTTAGCCAACGATTTTTTGTTCACCCGGCAGACACGATGAGATCAAACATGAACAACATATGTGTCATCGAAGCTGTTTCGTAGTTCAGCCTTGCTAAGCCACGCCATACAGATCCGAATCACACTGTGACAGCACCACGGAAAAATCGGGTACCAAAAGAAGGGAATTTCCTAACTAAGATGTGTTTGGTTTTTGATGGTTTTTGCATTTTGCTGTCAACAAAGCAGAAACAATGAGATTGGCATTTGTTGATGACTGTAGAACACCTGTTTCGACCATGAGCACTCCTTGTGAACAGGCTCCTTCGGTGGTGGAAAACTCATGAAAACTCCCGAACATGAATCACCTAGACTTGACATGATTTGACAGTACTTGTATTGTAGATGGACTATCTTTATCTATCTATATCTATATATATATATATATCATCAGGATTCCCACTTATATGCATTACAAAGTAACATTCACGTTCAATCACCACTTAGCTTCAGAGCTTTAGACAGAGCCCGTCAACAGCCAAGAGATGGGGAAAGATTCGGCAAAATGCCAACACAAAACTTGTGGATTATATAAACAGCTGAAAGGGGTACATGAGTCAAACGCTGGTTGGAACATTGGAATGATGTGAAACATGAATTTGTGGGAGAAGTGTTCTTTTGTCCGTTGGATGACGATAGGTAGATTTCCCACCAGTCGTTTGGGTATACAGCTATCTGATGGACATCATACAACCTCGCCATACCTTACCAACTTCTCATCAATTCTCAAATTGCCATTCAACTCCAAAATGTATTTCCAAGATGTGATTTCGGAAAACCAACTCTTTGGATCTCTTTGGCACGTAAAGCAATAGTTGCAACAGAATAATCCCATCCCGGACAATTAAACACCCCCATTCCATGGTCCCAGTCATATGTGGTTTCATCACACCCACCATGATTTCTGGGAAGGGATTATTCATCTAATACCAAGGTGCCATCATTAATTGGAGAATGGAAAACAGCTGACAATACAAAGTTGGGCCTTCCATGAATGATTCCTCCAAATTTTCCCTGAGACCGACCCAGCAATCCCCCTGTGCCGTACCCATGGAAAGCGTCGCCGCCATCGACCCCGACGACGCGTCGGTCACGTGTCGTTTCTGCCTGGGCACGGAGAACGACGAGTTCGTGGCGCCGTGCGAATGCCGTGGGGGACAACGATGGGTTCACCTCATGTGCCGGTGGCGAACAAGTCCGGGAGATGTTTTGAAGGAATGCATGGGAATGCACTGCACTGTATATACATAAGATAACCATGTGTATGATTATTTATCTATTATCTATGTATATATACATATGTGATATGGTTATTATATATATAATATATACATATCATTGTTGAATATATACATATCCAAACATACCTATATAATAGATGTACGTATGCATATGTATATATTTAACAATGATCAAAGGAAGTTTAGGGGGAGAAACTTCCGTGTTACGGACTTTTAGAATGTCAGGGAAAGAGTTAGTCAAAGAAAGAGTTAGCAAAGAAAGAGTTCGTCAGGGAAAGAGTTAGTCAAAGAAAGAGTTAGTGAGGGAAAGAGTTAGTCAAAGAAAGAGTTAGTGAGGAAAAGAGTTAGTCAAAGAAAGAGTTAGTGAGGGAAAGAGTTAGTCCCCGCCAGCGTCGTCCCCAGAGACACAGTTCGGTCGGCAAGAGTTCGTCCCCGCACGAGTTCGGCCGGGCCGCGTTCGTCACCGCACCGCGCTCGTGAGGGCCGCGTTAGTCCAGAAAGCGTTAAGCCCAGCCCCCGTTAGTCAGGGCACGAGTCGCACACGCAGCGGTTAGTGAGGGAAAGAGTTAGTCAAAGAAAGAGTTAGCAAAGAAACAGTTAGTCAGGGAAAGAGTTAGTCAAAGAAAGAGTTTGTCAGGGAAAGGCGCTTACGTCAACGAGAGCGTTGCGTGGCGGGAAAAGCGGTCGTCACCGAACGAGTAGCCACCGACCGGCACCCCCGTTCGTCCCAGGGCCCGCGTTCGTCACCGCCCGCGTTCGTGCGGGCCCGCTTCGTCAGGGAAAGAGTTCGCCCAGCCCCGAAACCGTTAGTCCGGCCGCGTTGTCAACGACAGCGTTCGTGAGGGCCGAGAGTGTACGAGTCCCCAGCCCGCGAGTAGCCCAGCCAGCCGTTCTTCCGGGACCCGTCCGATCCCCCCAGGGAGATAGCAACAGGAACAGAGTCGTCAAAGAAAAGAACAAGTTCTCAGGAAAGAGGCGATTAGTCAAAGAAAGAGTTAGTGAGGGAAAGAGTTAGTCAAAGAAAGAGTTAGTGAGGGAAAGAGTCAGTCAAAGAAAGAGTTAGTGAGGGAAAGAGTTAGTCAAAGAAAGAGTTAGTCAGGATATATGAGGTAGTCAAAGATTGTGATTTGCAACTCTAGGCTCGTTCCCTCACTGTAAATGGGATTGCAAGTGGTGCTGGTGGATGAGTTGCCGATGGAGTTTTGAAGGAAGTCTCGCACGAAATGCGTTTTTGAGAGATAGCAGATGCACGAAACCCAATGTTTTTCCATACAAAGTCCGTCCCCGAACCTCGATGATCTACCTCTGCGGTGCGACGGGTGCGAGACGGTCTCGTGTGTGGTCGGATCATGGTCGGATATGCTCGGATCATGGTCGGATCATGGTCGGATCGGTTCCGCATTGTAAATGGGGTTTCAACTGTTTTTCGTGCATGTGTGGTCGACAGAATTCCATTGTGATTTGCAACTGTAGGATCGTTCCCGCAATGTAAATGGGGTTGCAAGTGGTGCTGGTGGATGAGTTGCCGATGGAATTCCATTGTGATTTGCAACTCTAGGATCGTTCCCGCAATGTAAATGGGATTGCAAGTGTTGCTGGTGGATGAGTTGCCGATGGAGTTTTGAAGGAAGTCTCGCATGAAATGCGTTTTTGAGAGATAGCAGATGCACGAAACCCTATGTTTTCCATACAAAGTCCGTCCCCGAACCTCGATGATCTACCTCTGCGGTGCGACGGTTGCGAGACGGTCTCGTGTGTGGTCGGATCATGCTCGGATCATGCTCGGATCATGCTCGGATCGGTTCCGCATTGCAAATGGGTTTCAACTGTTTTTCGTGCATGTGCGGTCGACAGAATTCCATTGTGATTTGCAACCTGTAGGATCGTTCCCGCATTGTAAATGGGGTTGCAAGTGGTGCTGGTGGATGAGTTGCCGATGGAATTCCATTGTGATTTGCAACTCTAGGATCGTTCCCGCACTGTAAATGGGATTGCAAGTGGTGCTGGTGGATGAGTTGCCGATGGAATTCCATTGTGCTTTGCAACTGTAGGATCGTTCCCGCAGTGTAAATGGGATTGCAAGTGTTGCTTCCTCATTTGGCTGCATGCGTAATACTATTGTCTTTTGCAGCTGGACTTCGTAAATCGTATTGGAGTGGCTGCATGAAGGCTGCGACAGTGATTTGTCAGCAGATTTTCTCCATTTTGGCGCCAGCGATTTTCTTTTTAAAAATCCTTTTAAAAAGTGTTTCAAAATCGTCTTTTTTTCGCTCTGGCGTCGAGATCCGGTTTTGGAGCTGCAATTTCCGACCCAGTTGCGCGTAGTTCTATTGTGTTTTGCAACTCGGTCTCTGCAGATCGCATAGTAATGGCTGCGTCAAGGTTGCTTCTTGCCACGGCTGCATGCGTAATACTATTGTCTTTTGCAGCTCGACTTCGTAAATCGTATTGGAGTGGCTGCATGAAGGCTGCGACAGTGATTAGTAGTAGTGCTGGGAATTGATTAATGAAAGCTTAATAGATGACATATGAGAAGGGACGAGATGAGAAGAGATGAGCTGGGATAAGGTGAGAAGAGCTCAGATGAGATGAACTGTGGGGTGTGAAGAGTGCAGTGTGAAGTGTGAAGTGTGAAGTTTGGAGTGTGAAGGAAGCAGTGAGAAGTGAGAAGTGTGAAGTGTGGACTGTGAAGTGTGGAGTGTGAAGTTTGGAGTGCAAAGAGTGCAGTGTGAAGTGTGGAGTGTGAAGAGTGCAGTGTGAAGTGTACAGTGTGAAGGAAGCAGTGGGAAGTGAGAAGTGTGAAGTGTGGAGTGTGAAGTTTAAGTTTGGAGTGCGAAGAGTGAGTGTGCAGTGTGAAGTGTGAGGTTTGGAGTGTGAAGGCAGCAGTGAGAAGTGAGAAGTGTGAAGTGTGGACTGTGAAGTGTGGAGTGTGAAGTGCGAAGTGAGAAGTGTGAAGTTTGGAGTGTGAAGGAAGCAGTGAGAAGTGAGAAGTGTGAAGTGAGAAGTGTGAAGTGCGAAGTAGAGGGGAAGTGTGAGTTTGGAGTGTGAAAGGAACAGTGAGTATGAGAAGTGTTGAAGTGAGAAGTGTGAAGTGTGGACTGTGAAGTGTGGACTGTGAAGTGTGGACTGTGAAGTGTGGAGTGTGAAGTGCGAAGTGAGAAGGAAGCAGTGGGAAGTGAGAAGTGTGAACTGTGAAGTGTGAAGTGTGGAGTGTGAAGTGTGGAGTGTGAAGTTTAAGTTTGGAGTGCGAAGAGCGCAGTGTGAAGTGTGAAGTGTGAGGTTTGGAGTGTGAAGGCAGCAGCGAAAAGTGAGAAGTGTGGAGTGCGAAGTGTGGAGTGTGAAGTGTGAAGTTTCGAGTGCGAAGAGTGCAGTGTGAAGTGTGGAGTGCGAAGTGTGGAGTGTGAAGACTTTGCTTCGTCTCTCGCTGAAAAAAAAAGCCGCTTGTCGAGGGAAGGACACGGTCGGGACAGGCTGGCGTCGAACTATAGGTCATTTATGTTTGGGAAACTTCCGCCGCCGGCTTGCCCGGGTCTATGTAATATGTATATATATATATATGCATGTATATATATCTACATATAATATTATAAGAAAACCATACGTATATAAAAAAACTCATTGCAATGCATGGTTCGCAATGCTTGCAGCAACAAGCTCCAAAGATTTGTTGTATCAAAAAGGTGTGGACCTACATGGGCTCAGAAATTTGGTCTCTTCTAACAGGCGAACCATCGTTGTTTCTATAAGGGTCCAGTTGAACGCATGGGGGATTGGTCATATCATCCTGGGAGATTCTGCCAGGCAAATCTGCAATGAAAATGATGGGAGCACCCAGAGTTACCAGCATTCTTTTAGGTTCCAAATATGTTTGTGGTATCAGTAGTGGTGGGAGCATGCTCTAAAACATCCCTTTCGTGTATTAATATGTATTATCAAGTATTCCTGGATGTCTTTCCCATGGTCACCATGTCGTTTTACCGTGGTTTCTTCGCCAGATCTGCGGCGCAGATCCGTGGATCGAGGTGTCTACGACGGTGGCAAAGATCCATCCTGGTGACTCAACCAACACATCCCGCCTTGATCGAGGCCAGTTTCCGCAGCATCCAGGGGCCGAAGAAAGATCTGGGGAAAACAGAGAAAAGAGAGAGCCTGAAGGCCTGAAGAGGCAAGATATTCATAGCATTTGGTAGATGAAAATTGTCCCAAAGTTCTTGAACAGAGGGAGAGATGGAGAGAGGAAGGATAGGTGGGCTGGTGGGCTGGGAGACTTTTGATGACCCTCTTTGCCGCTTGGGGGTCGAACTAAGACTTGTCATTTGATTTCTGCCCGTTTGAAGCAACAGTCAATGTCTAAAAGGCACATGGCTTTAGGAGCTGGTGGATCGATGTGGAATCTGCTGTTGATCGTCCTCAAATTATGTGAATCAACTCCAAACATCATGCCACAGATCATCCATCGAACGTAGCTAGATATTATTGCCCTCGGAAATTGAATAATCTTGTAGCTAAGTATGTAAATCCAACTCAATATTACCTCAAACACCACTATTGCAAAGCCCTCGGCAAATCATTGCGCTTTCCAAAAAAGATCAATGTGACAGGAGGATCGGAGAATCACTCACTGCCAAGTGTGCCTTGCACGCTTGTCCTGTCCGGTACCTTCTCGTCATGAGATGATGCTGCAGTTCACTGGGGCCGAGTTCCTTGTTAAAGATGCAGCCACCTTGGAGGAGACCCGCAATGACGACGCTGGTTTCGAGCCAAAGGTATCTTATGACGATGTTTTTGGTTTGATGGTTAGTTATTCAAGTCACCCAAGCAACAAATTGTCATATGTTGCATGGATCTATTGGGGTCACAAACAGTTTTCGACAAAAATCGCCGGGATTCCCCAGGAACTCAGGACCTATACCTTGGCAAATAGCCCTACATCCCAGGTACGCTTCCAATTTTCGCATTTCAGCAGAAGTTTCAACAAGTCAAGTAGTTTCATTCACAAAAAAAAGCAAATACATGCAAATACGGTGGAGTACATCTTGTGACTTTGACCAAGAGAAACAGAATGGGATAACCACCGAAAAGTATGGGCGTGACCGAGGTTGGCATCGCTGGTGCAGGAGCAAAGTTTGATCGTCTCATCCAAGGTGCAGCTCGGTGCAGGGCTGGGGTTGTGTGAAAATGATGTATTTATTATACCCATTTGGTTATGATGTTTCATAGGTAAATCATCATAATCATCTATAGGTAAATTTTGTTATTGGGTAAATCATGATGAATCATCGAACTTTCTATGGGTCATGTTCCATAGCAAACTGTTAGTCATAACCAGAGGGTAATGGTGATCTAATGGGGTTTATGAGTATTATGGGGTGAGGATAATGTGAGTACAATTATAGAACTTAAGCTGATTTGGGTTTGATGAACGATTTTATGAATCATTTTGGTAGTGAAGATGATGGTGCTCCCAGTGGAGACAAGCCCAAATATCCTCCCCAAATATTCTTAGGGATTCACCAAGCTCAAGTGGTTGTGTAGAACCAGCAACTGGACAATGACACGTTAAGCAAGAAGCAGCAGTTGTTGTGATCAGTAGATGTGTATGTGTGTACCATACGTGGTCGTTTCGTGCCATGGTTAACATATGTTAACATGCTGAGGTTATAGCATGGGCAACTGGCATCAATTTCCAGGAGGGTAATCAAACATGGCAATTGGAAATCCCGTATACATGGAGGTGTTGATGGGGAAATCATCCATAAATGGGCACTGTTCCATTACATCTTAAATTACTGAAGCAGTTTCACAAGGGTAGGTCTCGATTCTCGGTGACTGATCCCTCCTTTTTTTTGTGATTGCAGATTACCCTCTGGTAAACTAACGTAACTATGGAAAATCGCATTTTTTTTCGGTAAATCCATGGTGTTTTCACCATGTTTTCACTGCACTGCTATGGAATTGACTGGTCGATCCGAGCTGTGTTAGTTCTGCCACATTGACGTTTGGCGAGCTCACCATAGGACAAAGCCTGTTGTCAAGAATAGTGTCTCTGGTTGCCACGAATGTTCTTTAACTGGAAGCTGGTTTGGTTTCAAACTGTTGCGCTAGGAGATGTCACGGCAGACCAGTTGCATGACCATCCCATGCACATGGTACTGTAATTGCCATATGTACTTGGATATGCCAGTAAGTGGGTAACTGTTCTTTATCCAATAAATGGATTGGAACCTTCATAATCAGTTGGTTTACAACTAGGTTAACCATGCGCTGTAGTGATTCTAAGTATAGTTAGATATGTCTTTAAACAGACAATCTGACATGGCGGTCCAAACCAGGTACCCTGGTGAGCCGGAAGCTAGGGATGTTCCCCCCCCATACAATGTGGCCCCCCCCCAGTTGTAAGTTGGTTTTTAAACCCCATCAACTATAGTTGTAACTATCATAAACCATAGTTATTGAAGTTCTGTTCACCAACTTAGCTCTCATAAATCAGCTATAAATCCCATGAAATCCAAATTTGTGTTGAAAAATGGTCACCATTTTCCTATGGTTTCCTATAGTTTTCCTAACGTTTGGGGGCCCATGGGGGGCCCCACATTGTAGCTTTGATCCATGGCTGCCAGGCCTGGTCAACGGCGCTGCGGCTCCTATTGCAGGAGCAGGGCGATCGGCGAAGTGTCTACAATGCCGTTCACTGGGGTCGACACCTGGCGGTGGATCAATACCTGTGGATACCTATTATATATATATTTATATAATATATGATATTGATATATAATATAGCATACATACATATAGAATAATATTGATATTTATACCTTTATGTATATATATATATATGTGAATAGACCATAAGAGACCATTTTTGGGGGGATGAACATCCAGCCATATGTATTTCTCGAGTGGAACTACAGGGGAATCAATGGGTTTTGACCCATCCCCACTTGACATTGAAACTTTCTTTGATCCCAAATTGGAGGTTACTGGATGGGTTTGAGGGAAATTGTCTGTAGAGGAAAGGATTATGTTTTTTGTATGAAAATGCCAGGGTTTCCTGATGTGTTCTATTTCTTTTCTCTCTATTCAGTTCTGCGAGGAAAAAACCTGGGATTTTCATCATGCAAACATGTTGATTCAAGCAACAAAGATGGGGACTTAACCACCAAACACAAGCGCTGCACCGGTTCCATTTTTGGAGTGTTTAAACAAATATGAACCCAATTCCAAGTGAAGATATTCAAAGCGAGGCGAGGATGTTCATGGTCCCCAGCCCCAGTGAATGATTTGATATGTTTTGGTGGTTCCTTGGTTGTTCCTTGGTGGTTCCTTGGTGGTTCCTTGGTGGTTCCTTGGTGGTTTGAAATCTTTGCTGTCGGGGTTCACGTCTTACTTTCCATCTTTGAGACCATGTCGATCATCAACAACAGGGCGGATGGCCCAGCTTATCAACAACCTCCCGTCTTTGCAACCTCAGTGATGCGGATTGCTGGAATTCAGTATCGGAACGCATATGAATCAGCAAGCAGAACCAACCCACAATATGGAAAAACCATCACCATCTTGACACCGAGGTCAGTCATATCCCTGCCTTTTTGCAGGATCAAAGTTCATCATCTTTGCTGAAATTCATGTCTTCGTGATATCTTCCCCATGTTTGATCGTTATTTTTGGCGATATTCCAAGAATTCAAAACATGGTTTCCTCATTTTCCTACCACGATCTGATCAGCGGCTCGCTGCCCGTTGCTCGCGGCCCAGGAAGCTGTTACTTCATCTACCACTGCGGGCCAAAGCAGCTCGCGCTGAGCATCCCCGATGAGCAGAACAGGGAGGCCATCCTGGAGAATCTCGACAGCGCCTTGACGCCTTGGTGTTGGAACTGGTGTTGGACTCTGAAAAACTTCCCAAGTCGTGGCCTCCAAATTTGAGTGTCTTGTGACTATTGTGATATGAAAACCATGGGGAAATGACACTAATGGATACTAATAGGCTGATTGTTGACTACAAATTAAGATCGACATGATTTTATTGATTGTGGAGGTCCCCAGAACTTTAAGGAACACAAGAGAAGAACACTAAGACACATATCGGATAGAGCCAGAGCTGGGAAGTTTCGTGCTTGCGGCCATCAAGCCAACGTGGCAATGCAGTTCTCCAGTTCTGCTGGCGACCCACGAATCCAATCCCACTTATCCACTTATCCACATATCCACTTATCCACTTATCCACCGACTGTTGCAAATCATCCCAAGTGGGAGTAATCAAATAAAACATCATACACAACTGGTTGGTGGTTTGGAACATGAATTTTATGATTTTCCATGTATTGGGAATGTCATCATCCCAACTGACGAACTCCATCATGTTTCAGAGGGGTGGCGAAAAACCACCAACCAGATGATTAACCATCATTAACCATCATGAACCATCATGAACCATCATTGACCATCATTAACCATCATTAACCATCATTAACCATCAACAACCATCAATAACCATCATTAACCATCATTAACCATCATAATCTCATCATTAACCATCAATAACCATCAATAACCATCATTAATCATCATTGACCATCATTAACCATCATTAACCATCAGTAACCATCATTAAATCATTAACCATCATAATCTCATCATTAACCATCATAATCTCATCATTAACCATCATAATCTCATCATTAACCATCATAATCTCATCATTAACCATCATAATCTCATCATTAACCATCATAATCATCATTAACCATCATAATCTCATCATTAACCATCATAATCTCATCATTAACCATCATAATCTCATCATTAACCATCATAATCTCATCATTAACCATCATAATCTCATCATTAACCATCATAATCTCATCATTCATCATTAACCATCATAATATCATCATTAACCATCATAATCTCATCATTAACCATCATAATCTCATCATTAACCATCATAATCTCATCATTAACCATCATAATCTCATCATTAACCATCATAATCTCATCATTAACCATCATAATCTCATCATTAACCATCATAATCTCATCATCAGGTTAGTGAATTATTAGACAATGATAAACCACTCATTGGGGATGAATCAGTGATGGTCAGTGGATCTCTCGAGTCGACCATGGATGCCATGGATGCCAGGCGCGGGGCAACTGGAGATCCGCGGCAAACAGTTCCGGGTGGTCATCGAGGGACCTCTGCAGGTAGCATTGTCCCGAGGCGGGAGCACCCAGGGAATCCCCATGGTGTACCTTGACCCCTACGTAGAAAGACGGGGAAGTGACCAAGCATTCTCAGGGGAATCTGCATTTCTGAGTTTATAGATGAGTTTCTGAGAACTAACTTGATACTAACTTGTTACTGTCACTTGTATTTTCTTTGGGCCTTCATGTCATTGATCCCGGGATATCCCTAGTCACCCGCTGAGGGCCAGAAGTTTCCGAGCCACTTGGTGACAGGGAGCTGTGGGGGGGCCAAAACTGGGCAGCTTGGAAATGGCACTAAAAGCAGGTCCCAAATGCTCCATAGGCCGTTTACATGAATTATGTCATATATTATTGCAATAATTTGCAATATCATATGTGGTTGTGTCAGAAAATTCGGTTTGACATGGTTTAACGCAAAATATAGGAGCAAAGTTTTCAGGGAACAAGATGATTCGTATGTGGATTGACTGGGTGTTTCCCAACACAGGTGCCAAAATCATTTCTTACACATTTTCAGTGTGATGTTTAACCTGTGCGCCATTGGAATCTCTGGTGTAATGACATCTTGGCCTCACAAAGGTCGGTAGCCACGCTGCCAAACGCAGAGCTTTATCGCGCCATCAGCGACACTTGGGCAGTGGAAGATTGCGGGGAGGTTTGCAAATTTTGCTATCCTTAGCACTAGCTCTATGACAAACTATGATTGGTCTTGGCCCTTTCAAACAAAGATTATTTTGATTTACTATCCGTCATCTACCCTATGTGATCGGTTTCACGACAGCACCACCTTGCACGTATTAATCCATCTCAACCTTATCCCATCATAATCCCATGAAATTCCATTAGAAATTCCAATTTCTCATGGCAAACTCCCCATATTTTTCCCACATTTTTCCCATCAAACCTGCCGCCGTGCCGAGGAGTTGCAGCTGCCCACAGAGGTCACGTTGGAGCAGGTGGCGGCCACGGACCGGAGCGATGACAGCAACGTGGCGGACCCGGCGGTGACCCTCCGGTGTCATGAAAGATGGCTGGGAAATCCAATGTAATATATATATATATATGAATAGATATGAATAGATATGAATATATATATATATATATGAATATAGATCATATATATTCATATATCATATATATATAGATGATAACATATATATATAGTTGATATCATATAAGGACAATATCATATATGGATAAAATATTATATATCATCAATGAGTACCATCAATTGGATGATCATGAATGATTATACAATCAACAAACATAATTAGCTGGGAAATTTCTTAACCAAATGGAGACCTTTTCCAGCTAGCCATGTTGATTTGGGATTGCCAGAAGGTATTTGGGGCGACCCAATGAGTACCCTCTGGTAATCTAACAGAGCTATGGAAACTGGTCCGTTTGTCGATCATTTACCAACCCACATATCACTGACCCAGCAACTCAGATGCTCATCCAAGTAGTTCAGTGGGCAGGCAGGTGAATATTTGAGAAGTATCTATCTTAAGTGAGTTGATATTCTTGAATGACAGCCCTACAATATTCCCAATATTTATAGTTAGATTTTGATCATGTCATTGGGATACTATTAAATATAATAAAGTTATAGTAGGGTTGACAATGAACTATATCAACATAAGGAGAATTTGTAAAGTGATTGTTTAAAGTTTATAGCTTTCAGATATGGATAGTATGTTGACGCTTTTTTTTTCAGGGTCTAGTTATGGGACTAGCAATGCCCCCATGCCGGTCATGGCTCATTTTGAAGGAGCCGTGCGGAAAATGATCGACATGTCCGGTGGGTAAACTCCACATCGAACTGTGGGGCGTGTTATACAGACCAGCTGTAGATGGTCTGGGATGTACAACAAATTCTATCATATGTATATATATATATATTAATGTATACAGATATAGACATACTTGGTGGTTCCTCCCACTGTGTATGTATATATATATATAGGTGGATTAACCTTGCTTAGCCCATCAACAAAACCACAGCCGAGGCATTCGAGCCATCAACTTGACCAACAGGATCTCCAAGGGCTACAAGGTCGTCACCAACTCATGTGGGTATGGTCTGATAGGCTTGGGGTACTCTCCATGGCTGACAGGCCTTGGTACTAAAACTCCGGGTGTTTCATGATTTGTTGATCCGGTTGTTCCATGATTTTCTGTATCTCAACCCACTGGGTCTATTGGAAGAAAGCACCAGAAACCATAGCTTTGCACCCAAAGAGTGAACAACTCCTAAGCTTTGCCTGAACCATTGCCTTACAACTGCAAGACTTGGGTCCCTTTGTTTCTCTTTGCACACTTCCGCGGAACATGTGGATCAGTTCCTTTTAAGTAATACAGGCCAATATTGTGCATCGCAAATGTGCCAAATGCAGTTGCAAAATCCGAATCATCCAATACTTTATCTAGCCACGTAGCTCTTCCAAAGTCATCCAAAGTCATGTCAATGTAGTTTTTTTCTACCAGCATCATTTTGTAGGAAAGGGCATGTCCGGCAGAGGATTTGAGCCAAGACGCGAAGACTCGACTGCGCAGCGCTGTGGAGGTGGACGGCGCTTCGCGATTACTGTAAGCTAAAAAGATGCTGAAAATGCAAAGCAATGGGTATGTACATATGAGGTGGGTAAAATAATATGGTAAAATAATATGGTAAAATAATATGGTATTAATAATACTATAGTTATTTGAATATGTTTTTATGTATCTCTTCCGTGGATGACCCATAGTTGTTGTTGCATGTTCAAATGTTGAACAAGCAGAACTGCGCAGCTCATATCATGTAATTCCATGCAACTCCCAATCTTGGGCAAATCACTGTCATGAGGAGTCTCCAGCAAGCCATGAGAGTACCAATCAGTAGCCTTGGTAAATCAATCAGTGCACTTGAAAATCGCGCCATGTCTATTCATAGAGAAGTGACCGTCCCGTGGAAAAACCATGTCAGGGTGGATGTCCTATTACTAATGGATATATATATATATATAATTATATATATATATAGATATGATTACTAATGAGAAGGTCATTACTAACCATTACTCATCAGTGCAGGCCGCCCAAGTTCCTCAGAAGCTGCTGGCGAAAAGTGAACATTTCCTGGGCGGGCCGTGTGCCACTGCTCAATGCATTGCATCTTGGTGACGAGTATGACGAGTTGGTGCTGCGGAGTCCCACCAGCAACTACCATCTGGTTATGACTGCTACATAGCCATGGTATAGATCCCTTATAAATGGAGGTTTTAATGGGAAAATCATCTATTAATGGTATAGATGGCCCATAGAAATAGATGGTTTACCGGTTTACTGTTCTTAAAAATGGGTGGATTTTCCATGGCGAACTGTTAGTCATAACCAGAGGGTAATCACAGATCACCACACCACACCACTTGAAACCTTGGTGAAGTTTTCTTTTGGGGAAGGGTTCATTATGGTTCACTTGAGTGAGCTAGAGATTGAAGGAGGAGTGATCTCCCCAGAGCTGAATGAATGGCTGAATCCCATGGGGGATGATTGTTGAACATGAGGCTTCAAACCACTTCCATGGCAGGTCCTTTGTGGCCAATGTTGGGTACCTTTTATTTCAGTGCTTGATGAAATGTGGATGATGATTGCAGCAACGGTGTGGCTGTGCCAAATGTTCCATCCTTACATTGGAAGATGATTTTGAGGGCAGCGGTGGCTCAACCACTACTACCCACCAAACTACCATTATGCGACAACAGCAAGTTCAGGCGAAGTTCAAAGGCCCAAGATACGGCAGAGATCAGACATATGCGTGCTGCTGTAGCTGCCGTGGCCATGGCATGGGAAGGGTATGGGAACCTGTCGTCGACCTCCAGAAAGAAAAAGGTCAAGGAAATGATCCGAACTTTGGCACTGAAGAAGCAGGACGATTTGATTATTGATGTTTTTTACTTGGCATTTCGTCAAGGAGTGAGGCTGAGTGACAGCGATTTTACGGTTGGGATTTCATCTTGTGCCAAGTCGCAACTGTGGCAACACGCTTGTAGCCTATTGGATGGCATGCCCAAGATGAAGGTTTGTCCAAACACGATTGTGTACAATGCCACCATCAACGCCTGTGACAGGGGAGGTCAATGGCAGCAGGCGTTGAACTTATTTGAAGCTATGCCAGAAGCTGGTATCAGTCAAGATGTGGTCAGCTACAACACTGTCATCAGCGCTTTTGGGGAGGGAGGTCAGTGGCAGCAAGCATTGAGCATCTTCAGTGCAATGCAAAGTGCTAAAGTTCAGCCATATGCTGTCAGCCACAATGCGACCATGAGTGTTTGTGTAAAGCAAAGTCAGTGGCAAGATGCTCTGTGCCTGTTTGATGCCATGTCGACTGAAGTCCGCCATGATGTCTTTAGCTACTCCACAGTCATCAGTGCCTGGGGAGCCAGTTCCTGGCAACAGGCACTGAATTCCTTCAGCATGATGCTGGAAGAAGCTGTTTGGCCAAACACCGCGGTGTACAATGCGACGATCAATGTCTGCGGCACACATAGTGCCTGGCAACCAGCCTTAGGTTTGTTTGAAGCGATGTATCATGGCAAATTGCGTCATGATGTCATCAGCTACAATGCAGCAATCAGTGCTTGCGAGAAGGGCGCAGAATGGCAGCATGCCCTGGCTCTGTTTCAGGCCATGTCCTCGGCCATGGTGCCCAACAGCACCAGCCACAATGCCACAATCAGTGCTCTTGAGAAGTGCGGTCAATGGGAGCTGGCGCTGTCTTTGTTTGAAGCCATGCCGCCGAGCTGCGAGCCCAGCAGGTTCACCTATGGTGCAGCAATCAGTGCCTGTGAGAAGCGAGGTCAATGGGAACATGCCTTGAGATTGTTTGAAGATATGCCCAGGTCAAAAGTTAAACCTGGGATTATTGTTTACAACTCAACAATCAGTGCTTGTGAGAAGGGCGCTCAATGGCAGCAAGCATTGAACTTGTTTTTCCGACTAGTTGAGGTGAAGCTACATGCTGACATCATCACATACAATGCCACCATAGTGCCTGCGAGAAGGGAGCCCACTGGCAGTATGCGCTGTCCTGGTTTGAGGCAATTCTGAGGGCAAGACTAAGTCCAAGTGTCATCAGCTACAGTGCCACCATGAAGGCCTGTGATAGGGGGAGCAAATGGCAGCAAGCTATCAACTTGTTTGAGGCCATGCTGACTGCAACCGTGGAGCCAGATGTTTTCGCCTGGAATGTGGCCATTGGTGCATGCAAAGCAGGCGCTCAATGGCAATTCGCCTTGAGCTTCTTCGATGCTCTGCACATGGCATCGATGCGGCCAACCACAACGACCTACAACGCGACCATGAGTGCTTGTGAGAGGCACGGTGAATGGCATGTGGTCCTCAACCTGCTGGCTGAGATGTATCGTGTGGAAGTCAGATGTGATGTTGCCAGCTACAATGTCGCCATCACTGCGTGCCGGCACGTTGAGCAATGGCAGGTTGCCTTAGAACTCTTTGAATTGATGCCCAAGGTACAACTGAAGCACAGCAGTGTGACCCACAATGCTATCCTCAGTGCATATCGCAAGGGTGGTCAATTCTTGAGAAAATGTGACAGATGCAGTGGATGAAGGGTGTGTTTGTGTGTGTGTATTTGTGCATGTTATAAGTTGTAAGGATTCAATTGCATGTTACAGGCTAGGACTGGGGTATGAACACGCGGTCTCACAATCAGAATTCTGTAGGATGATTGGAATATGTTGGAATGTATTTGCAATGTTTTGAGTGGAGGACACAATTGAACAAATTGGTAGATTTGGATATATTTGGAATGTTCTTTGAATGTGTTTTATCCCAAACTGATTTATATATCCGTGACCTCAAGCAACTGCATCCGGTATGGGTCAAAACTGTCTCGGCCACGAGACCAACAAAGTCTGTCAGTCGAAGTAGGAAATCATCCCAAATCGTGACCGTCGTGACCAATAGCTATGTCGACCTATGTGATCCCTTCCCCTAAGAAATACACGCATGTGGGCCCCCATTGGGCCCCCAGAAAATGAATGGATCCAGTTGCAAAATCACAGTTTGTGGGGATGATAATATCAAGGGGACAGGATTCATTGTATTATTTCACACTTTTGATTTGTCGCTGTTGGTATTCGTGAAATCGTGAAATAAACATATCTATTGCTGCTAGTTGCTAATCGTCTTTTACAAAGTTGCTATCTCGATCTTGGAATGGCCTACAACAATCTAATTGGGTACATGGCAAAACTCTAGTACTCTGGTATAATATCGTACTCTGGTACCCTTTTGAATTGAATATTCTAACATGTCGTTGTTTTCCAAAATTTGGGTACTTCAAGCCACCATCAGTTTCCTATGGTTTCCCTGTTTAAAAACAACCAATAGCGTGGATGATAACTTTGAAGCCCCCAAATCCAACCAAACCTTTTTTGCGGGTCTTTGCCTTTGAATGGCATCGCTTTAGGCCGGAGTGGGTCGATACCCCATAGTAGCATGATTACTGTATGTTGTATGTATGTGTATGGAAAAAACATCCTTGGGTGGCAATTCGACGGGTATTTGATGGTATGTGACTCTGATGTTTTTTTGTTAACCTCAACTTTTGTGGCACAAGACACCATGGGTCCCAGGCGATGCTGTACCCTGGACATATTCTGAGGATTTCCGAAAGCCATGGCAGGCTGGGCCTAAGGAGGCTGAAGCAACGACCCGAGCCCATGGTCAAGGCGTTTGATGCGACACTGGATGGATTCCGACTTGATGAAGGGAAACATGTCGCACGAATTGCAGAGTGTGCCAAATCCAAACAGTGGCAGCGCGCCTGTCAGATTTTTGCTGCCATGCCAACCATGAATCTTCATCCGAGCACCAATGCTTACAATGCCGCGATTGGTGCCTGTGAAAAGAGTGGTCAATGGCAATATGCTCTAAAGTTGTTTGAGGCCATGCCCTGTGCAAAAGTTCGGCATGATATCACAAGCTACAACGCCCTAATGAGCGCTTATGGGAGGGCAGGTCTATGGCAGCATGCGTTGCGAATCTTTGCTTCCATGGCTGAAGCTCAGGTTCAGCGCAGAGTCACAAGTTACAACTCAATCATCAGTTCATTGGATAAATGTGGTCAATGGGAGCGTGCACTCGGTATGTTCGAAGCAATGCCAACGCTTAAAGTTGAGCCTCGAATCACCACCTTCAATGCAACGATCAGCGCTTGTGAAAAGGGGGGTGAGTGGCAGAAAGCAGTTACTTTGTTTGTATCTTTGCCCAAGGCAAGACTTCGACCAGATGTCATCAGCTACAATGCAACCATCAGTGCTTGTGAGAGATGTGCTCAGTGGCCGCAGGGGTTGAGTCTCTTTCACTCGATGCCGAAGGCAAAAGTTGCCCAGGACATGATCACCTGGAACGCCAGCATCAGTGCATGTGGGAAGGGAGGTCAATGGCAGCTGGCACTGAATCTGTTTTATTCGTTGACCCAAGAGCACCTCCATCCCAACATCATTACTATTAATGCCACCATCAGTGCTTGTGGAAGTCATGCGCAGTGGGAGCAGGCTCTTCACTTGTTCCAAGGTATGGACGAGTCTGAACTGGTTCCAGACATCATCAGCTACAGTGCCACCATAAGCGCTTGCGAGCAGGTTAGTCATTGGCATGATGCATTATATTTGTTTGTTGAAATGCTGGAAGCAAAGCTTGATCCCAACATCCCCAGCTGCAGTGCAGTCATCAGTGCATGTGATAAAGGGGGTCAATGGCAATCTGCTTTGGGAATCTTTGAAGCTATGCTTTCTTGGAGATTGGATCCTTCGCTTGTTAGTTACAATGCAGCGATAAGTGCATGTGGGAAAGGCCATCAATGGCAGCAAGCCCTGATGCTTTTTGACACAATGCCCGTGGCAAAGCTTCGCCGTGATCCGCTTTCCTATCGCGCGGCCACTGGTGCGTGCGAGCAGGCTGGGCAGTGGCGTTTTTTGCGATGCCTATTGGCCAAGGCTTCAAGAGCCCAGCAGAGCAGAAACATGGAAAATTCGGCCAGGGGGGGTACCTGAGCGATCCCTTCCCCCAATAATCATGGTTAGAAAGGGAAATCATCCCCAAATGGCCTCAATTCAGGTTAGTGAAATATAATTTACCCAGAAATATGCAACAAGCGATAACCGATGATGGAAGTGATCACAGTTTGAGTTCATCATCAGGTTGTCCCAGTTTCCGAGTTGAGCTTATTAAGAATACCTTGGTTGATTGGTTATCTGGTTGGTGGTTTGGAACATGTTTATTTTCCATAATATATGGGATAATCCTTCCCATTGACTAATATGTTTCAGGATGGTTAAAACCACCAACCAGTTATGAAATAGGGCATGATATTACTTGGCTCATTGGGGATTTGAAAATCACTAAGCCAATGGCTAACAGAAAGCGTTTTCAACCAAGTAGTAGAAAGACTTTCCAGTTCGAGTCAGTTGGAAATCATTCTTAATAGGTAAGTCATGTTAAATCATCATGTTCATCATCTGTAAGCCAGTTCCCAGTTAGAATCATCTATAAGTCACATTTATCATTTATCATCTATAAGCCATGTTATCATGTATAAGCCATTTATAAGCCATCTATAGATCTGTTAAAAACGTTCTGGCTCTGCCATCGCCTCAGGTCATGATCTCTGCCAGTCAAGCTGCCACGATGCCATGCCCGGGCTTCAAGGTCTTTGACGCCTTGCAGGTGGAACTGGAGGATGTCCCATGTCCTGGAGCCGCGGTCTATGGTTACAATAATATACTACATAGTATCAACTTATATTATATACTCTTATATGATATATATATATATATATGGTCCATGTATATAGTATATATATATATGTAGAGACGTATCTATATAGAGTATATGGTGTGTACTTTGATGTTTTGTGAGCATATTGACAGTATGTGTTTTTGTGTACAATGTATTTTTACGTATAGATCGTATCTGTGTATACATAGAGTCTAAAGGTGTCTACATTTTGTTCTTATTTATAGTGGATTTAGATATTTAGATATATGCGTACACTGTATCTGAAGGGTTGTACTTTGAAGTTTGTTTCTTTTCAGCTATCTGGAGTTCAGCATTTTATGCTGAAAGGCCCCCACAATGGCTGCGAGTTCGACAATGCTACATGGTTCATAACACAAGGTCACAACGGGCCCAACTAATTGATTGGTCATGGCTCAGTCTTGAAACATTTTTTTTGCTGGGGCAAGAAAATCTTCCAAAGCCTTGTGACTTTTATCTGTCCAGATTTCCAGTGGCGTTTGTTCAAACATGGGTGCCCCAAAACATGGGATGCTTACTGTTAGGACCTCATTTTCCCTCGCAGAATGAGCAGAAATTGAGGGCTTACATTTTCAAACAACCCCATTTGGGGATGACGAATTCTAAGCTTCAAGGTCCAAATGATCACGGATTTTGGTATTTTGTATATATATATATATTAATGTATACAATGTTATAATAATGTATGTATATAAATACACATCCATTCTAGGGTGCACCAACTGTGACCCATAATAGCCATGTGCATCCTGCAGGTGGCTCTTGGAACTGACCTCATCGCCGCACTGAAGACCTTGCAGCCGGCGGAAGCGGACGACGAACGGCCCAGCAAGAGAAGGAAAGTGGAGGTGCCGTGGAGTGAGGGGCACAGGGGTGTGGGAGGTGATTGTGAGATATGGGCATAGGGATAAGGATATATTTGGCATGGTTTTCATCCAAGATTCTAAGATCATTCTACAACCATTCAATTCGCCCCTTCTTGGGTGCCAAAACGATGACTTGTACTGTGCGAAACTAGAAGGCAGCAGGATGTTGGTACATGACAATTGTCTTCGCAATCAATAACTTTAATGTCATGCAGAAGTTTAGTTCCTAATGGCCCCTGAAATTGTCTTTGGGATCCTTCTCAACTGTGCAAATACCGATCAAAATGAATGAAGCCGCAGAATTAATTACTATTTCCCATCCTTCCTGCATCTCAGTTTCATGGGGTGCCAGGAAGATCAGGAAGAAACTGATGAGCCCACGGGGCCCACAGCCAATGAGGAAGTGCCTGAGGCCTGGTCGCTGTTGGTACCTGATTTTTGGACACGGCCATGAACTTGTCCCATACTTGGGACATCTAAAAAACCTTTGATAGATACCTGAAGTATCCTGAAATGAGTAGAAATTAAAGGTCTAGATATTTACCCGGCTTTGAAACTTTGAGTCGCATGGACTAGGTGACCAGGTGAAGCAACTCATAGGAACCCCTGGCTTGTCCCCAGGTTCCCGAGGATGAGGGATCCGATGTGTCCGAGTGGGGCCAGTATCTTGGACCAGGTTTTTTGGGTGCTTCTAAGAGGATTCAAGGACCAGTATGACCAATGTGACCAGTCTGATCAATGTGGACCATGAATTCTGTCTTCAGGTTGTTTTCCCTAGGCCGACTCTAGTGGGAGGGAGGCCTTGCCTTTCCTTCCCTGGATCAGAAAGTTGCCCCCCCCTTTGATGCAGCCTGGGCTTCAAAGGTCTGCTGGTGAGTTTGCTTTCAGTGGCCCACCCTTGGACGACTTGGACGATGACGATGAGGAGTCGCAATCAGAGGTGCCGCTGGTGAGGAGTGGTGTCTAACTGCATGGTTTGAAACATTGGGTGTGTCTGAAAACATGGGAAAACGCTGTATACCCCAAAATGATTCAGAATGGCATGTTTGAAAACGATAGCATTAATAAACCTGGGGATTTTGGGAGTATAGCCTATTTTCAGACAAAGAAATCCACATGACAAAACATGCAATGGTGGTTCTCTGGCTTGCTGTGCCATCGTTTGTTGATGGAGCATCAGACATCGTTTGACGTGTCAGGAGCCGTTTTGCCCTTGGGGTAAAAGGTATGAAAGTTGTTTGACGCCTTGAGGGCGAGACTTTCCCATGTACTGTATCAAAATGGTATTTGTATGTATTTGTGACATGAACCTATTGTAATACCTATTGTCTGGAGCCACATATGCGTTATTTGGAGTGTGTTCAGTCGTCCTTCCCTGCAAAAAAACCGGCCTTTTGCGAGACCGAAGAGGCGGATCACGGCCCAACGGACACAGGAGCTGGGAGATTTCCTGGGACTTTTCTGTGTGACGAAGCCTGAATCTTCGAAGTGAAAACAAGCTGAATCGTTATATTGTAATATGCACAAAAATATATACTGCGAATTACACACATTTTTTCCGTGTGTTTTTCTCATCAAATCAAAACAATGTGCTGTTTTTCTCGGCATGTTCACCACTTGTTATTGTGCAAAGTGCAACATTTCAAGGTAATTGTCCAACTTCAGAAAGTGCCTGTATATGTATGTATATCTATACACACCTACTTATATCGTTTTATATCTATTCATGAGAATGTGTGTGATATACATATATATATATATAAATCCATTAAAACTCCCTCAATTTCCCAAGTTCCATGGGGCTCCAGGACCTCCCGCAGCGCCGTCAGCACCGTGGCTACGCATCTTCTGGGGCGAAGCGCGATGGCAGCGCACGCAGCTGCTGGGAGAGTTGGCCAGCGACTCGGCCAAGCTGATGGGGGGATCGGCTGTGTTTCATGGGGATCCAATGTGATTTACCATGAAAAATGGTGATTTCATAGGATTTTGTGATGAAAAGTGGTGATTTCATGAAAGTTGTATGATGAAAAATTGATATTGAACGGGATTTGATCATGAAGAATGGTGATTGAATGGAGATTTCATGGGATCTACCATCAACAGTGGGGATTTTTGGGGAAATGGGATTGGATTTACCCTCTGGTGTCATCAAATGTGGCCCGAAAATCACCCAATAAACGGAGGTTTCTAGCTGGGAAAATCATCAATGAGCAATGGATTTTCCATTGCCATGTGTGCCAGAAGGTAGCTGATGTATAAACAATGGAGTTACTGCAAATGAATAGGAAAAACATAGGAAAAACATAGGAAAAACATATTGACCTGGATGTGTCTGGAACGGCGGTATACCCCATAATAACATTTTTTAGGTGGAACATGATGATAACCCGTGGGATTCTGAGTAGCATATTTTCAGAAAAAATGTGTTTTGTTGTCGTCCATCCTATTTGAAACTAGTTGTCTAATTTGACAATAGAAATGAGATAGGTTCAAACCACCCACCAATTTAAACTGGCTGGTGGTTTGGAACATTTTTTATGTTTCCATATATTGGGAATTTCATCATCCCAACTGACGAACTCATATTTTTCAGAGGGGTTCAAACCACCCACCAATTTAAATCATAAATTTTCTGACAGCAAATATGATATGGATTTAACCAGTGCAACATTGTCACATTGCCCAAGTGTCTGACAGAAAATGGTTAACCAGCCATCGAACCAACCACAATGTGGATTTCAAGGTACAAAAATGTTAGTATTTAGCCATGATGAATTTGGGATTTAAGCCGCGACAATAGGGATTCTGACCTGCAGTTACATGTATAGTATATTAGGTTAAAAAAGCTTTAAAGCCCGGAAGGACTTAACCACCATCAGCCAGTTGTAATGACGATTCATCCTGCAAAAAAGCATGTAGATGTTGCTTCGCACACATGGGCATGGTGGACATTTCGGGATTTTGAAAACGGAATTAACAGAACATTGAGATTGAACCAACAAAAGTGGGTATGTTTACCCAGTAATATGTTAAGTATAACGAATTATAACGTATTACTGTAACCATCAAAGATACGGATAAATCACCAATGATCAGGGCAAATCAGAACAACCTCACTGGCCCCGGAATTTCTTCACAGATGCCATTCATGCATGTCATACTGAAGGTGTCCATACGTTTGGCCAAAAAGATTGCCCAAAACGGGTGTGGCTACTGAAATCCAAACAAATCGAAGGGATATTTGGTAAAGCGGAAACATACAGTACCCAACAATGAGTAGTTTAAACAGCATCCCAGGGAGTCACTAACGCTGCTTTCGCTCGGTCATTTTGCCACTCCCAGGGAAAAATGTTGTCCCGGAAATTGTTTGGATGATACACTTTAAGTATTGTGCATATTGATGCGACAAATCGCGGTATATATGTTCTTATGATGCATATTACAATACAATTTTAGATATATCGTACATATATGTATAATCAAATATGCCCTTTGAATGATATAAAACAATCAATCACAAGTGGAATAGTTCATTACCATAATATGATACAGTGGTTCACATATCCATCTATCTCAATGTATCCATCTGTGTTAGTACATATATCCCTATCGCCATAGTCTATCTAAACCATACTTCCATATGATATTATAATAACTGGAATATGTATATATATATATATTTGCTACACTATACTATGCCATCTATATCAACCAGATAATATATACTATATATATATGGAATAGTTCATATCCATATTTCCATATATCCATATCTCCATAGTTCATCAGATTAACTAGATATTAAGTATATTTTATCTATATGTTAGATACTCTTCTATCTATATTAACTATATTTAGCTATACTCCTGGAGAGCTCATGTCCAGTTCCATCGAATAAACTCTCCAGGAGGTGACTGGGGCCTCTGCCAAGCCATGGAGGAGGACTTTCTTCGATGCGACAAGTGCCTCGGCTGCGTCCCTGGATTTCCCGTTCGGGTAAACATAGAAAAAGATGTTGAAAATCTTGGGGATATTCCCTATTTTCAGACAAAATCATACAAAACGCACTTGTATGGGTGCGATTAATCTGATGGAATTTATTTGCTCCATTTATATACAAAATTATATATCTTTGGGTTGAATATTTGTGAGGGGGGTGATATTGAGTTATTACAGTATGTATGATTCCGGGGATGAATATGAAAACTTCAGGGCTTAGTTGATATTTGCAATCATGGGGCTTCGTGAATTTGCTATATTACCGTGGATTTGATAAACGTGGTTTTTCTAATGTTTCTCCCAGTGGAAAATCCACCATCAAAATGACTAGAACCAATACTAAACCGATGTTTTTGAGTTAATGATTTGTGATATTTGGGGGAGGGATTGCTTCAGGACAACTGGCTTGTGGTTTCATGATTTTTGATGAAAAAAATGGGAATGATGATGGTCAAAAATGACCTTTATATACACTTCGGGATGATTTGAAACCATGCATCAACCAGACAATAGCTCATTACCAAGTACCCAAAATTGGTCTCAGTGGAACAGTCAAGATTCGGACAAGGAATGTCTAAAGTACCCTCGAGGTTCATCAATTTAGTTATTTTGGGGAGTAAACATGCTAATCTATGTATTTCGCTTAATGTGGGAACCTTGAAGCATAAACTAGTCACAGTTGTGACTTACCACACATGGGTGGTCTGTGAACCATCCCCAGATCTACTTCTATTTAGTTGCATCCCACAATATCGAAAATACTGTTCATTTTGTGGATGCAAAGAAAAGGTACCAGGGTTTTGATGGATCACCAGTTAGCCACGGAGCAAACTGGTTGTCAGAATAGGGATGTTGACCCCTTCAGCATTTCTTACGTAGCCTCTGGTTTTTTAAAACATGGCAGCCATCCCTAAGATGTTGGAATCCCATGGAAAATCCCATGGAAAATCCACCGTATTTACTTCGATGACTTTCCCGGCTGGGAATTTCCCAGGCCTATGGAGCTGGGTCAAATACAGAGATGTGCCAATTTCCCCTGGTGATTTGCCAATTTGTTACGTAACGGATTCAGCTGGTCATTTGATGATGTTCAAGTGCCCAGTGCGGCTGGTCGTGTTTTTTTTTTCCGGTTATATAATACGATATTAATTTGTGTTCAGCTAGTTGGACCAGCCTGTTCAATCAGGAATATGCAACAAACCAACACCTCATGTCTTATGTTTTGTTGCTGCGCGCATTGCATGGGCAAATGAATCTCAATATATCTCAATTAATTCCAGAGATTGGAGAACAAGTAGATAGTCGATGGTGAATAAACACATACAAAAACTGGATGGATGGTTGAAGTAGCGATTTGCCACACTTTTTTTGGAGCCAAGCAGTGAGTGGAGCCGCTACCGCTTACAACACAAATCTTCCTGCTGAAAAATCTGAAAAATGAAAGAATCTCACGGAATGATTGTCAAATGCGCAGTGTTCAAAACCTCTTTATACCTCTTTTGGTTGATTATAGGGGGCTACACTATCCAATACATTGGGGATTATCACAATATCACAATTCTTTAAAAAGGATGAGATTTCGGGTTGTTGAACACTGCTTTTTCATGTTTGTTCCAGTGCTGGGATGCGATGCCAAGGAATGTTTGGCAGAGGCTGTTGAACCTTCAGCGCCCGGTCTACGCGCCTCAGAATGAGATGACTCGCACAGCTGCGTGAGAAAGTGGTGTCCTGCAGCCATGACATTCCACGGTGAATTGGCATGGCATTGACTGTCCTTTACTTCCTTTGAAGCTCAATATCCAAAGCAAAGGTTGGGGGTTCAAGATATAGTTATATTTGTTATATTAAATTGTAATTATATTGCATATATATATATATCATATAGACATATGTTTGTACATATTCTATTTTGAGCATGTTATTCCTATGTGATACTATATATGTTATATAGATATACGCAGATTTATGCCAGATTTCATGGATCTTCCATCCTACCTGTGCAGCCTGGCCAGCCTGGGCAGGTCAGTATCTCTGAGCCGCTGGATGCGGTGGCGAATGAGACCCGCAGCTGGTGGCGTTCCCTGACGGCAGCCATGCGAGGCCTTGACGACAGGATGGAGTTTTTTTTCGGTCGTGAACATAGCTAATTATGGAAGATGGATGCCAGGAAGATTGATGGAACATTTTGAAAATTTCCCTTTTGTTTTTTCGAAAATGAGGATTTGAGCCATGAACTGTAGCTTCGAAATCCATGAGATTTCGCCAGGAAAAAATGATTTCATGGGGATATTTTTTCACTCCCCCGAAGACACGCGACACCGTCGACAGCTCTTTCTGGTAGCTGGTTAGAATGAGCCCTTACTAGTCATATTAATGATGATTTAATGGTGATTAACCCTCTGGTAATGGAATATGAATGGCTGGTTGGTGGTTTGGAACATGTGGATTATTTTTCCATTTCATATATGGGATAGTCCTTCCCATTGACGAACTCCATCATTTTTCAAGATGGTTAAAACCACCAACCAGTAGTGATCTAGTGGTTGTTGCTGCCTAGTAAGCCCTCACGAAACCCCTTGATAGAAAGGATGGTCGCCTTTGGACAGGTTGAAGTCCCATGATGCAAAATTTGAGGATCAAACGCGGGAATATCAATTGTATTAAGTTGTATGTAAGCAAACATTTGGGTAAATGATGTTGCCAACTCATTCGCCAGCTTCAGCATACATGATGGTTAGGATTGAAAGAATCATTCCAAAACTGACAAACTGTTCCAGCCTTGCTTGGTTTTTAGCGTTAAAGAGTCGAACAGTGGTGTGGTTCTTGCAGTTGCAGACACATTTTTCTTCCCTTTGACCGAAGACTCCCACTGGATAAAGCCAAACAGTGAGGGCTCATCGTGGCGCTGGTGAGATCTCTCATCTGGTGAGATCTAAGTGAAGAAGACTCCTGGGGAAAATACTAGTTGTGCTGTACTCAATAGACTGGTTGAGCTCCAAAACAATGTGTATATATATATATATTACTTGTATAGAGTATATATATATACTATACATATATACAATTTTGTACATATATATGATTTCCCGTCAAAATCCTCTACATCTGAGTAGTTGCTATTGTTATGGTTATCGCTTTTGGGGGGCCCTATCGCTTTCCAGGGTTTTGTGGAAATGAGCATATTCGAGATCCAACATGAAGCCAAAATCCATTCCTAAACAGGCTCGGACATGGATCGATGATCGAGGAGTTGTTTTGTTGCTTTCAGGTTCTTCGGCAACACTTCATGTTCCTTTCATGTTGCATTTATTTGCATGCATCTTCCTTCATTTTCCTTTCATGTGTACTCATCTTCCTTTCACTTTGTATTCATGTCCCTTCATTTTCCTTCATTCTCCTTTCATGTTCCTTTCGATTGTAACTTCCCTTTGTTTTCCTTCATAGTCCTTTCATATTCCTTTCATGTTCATTCCAATGTGCATTCATGTCCTTTAATGTTCCTTTCATTTTGCATTCATGTCCTTTCATCTCCTTTCTAAAGTGATGGAAATGGTTCTATGGCTTGGCGAGGGGACCGAGTGCAACAAATGGTTATCGCTAAGTTATCGCTAAGGGTATCGCTAAATAGCACCTCCATTGTATATACCTATACATATATATATAACAGTATACAACATGTATATATGTGTATGTATACATTTAAAATATACGTATCTATCAATATATGTTATATGTACTGTGACTGTACCCAAAAAGAAAGATGGATACCTAATGCCTGATCTTTCCTCATTCCGGCTGAGTTCTTAGCCCAGGTGAAGCTGCGCAGAGCAGTTTCCAAGAGGCCAGACGTGAGATGTGTTTAGATATGTTTTTAAAATTAGGTACCCCACAATTTCACTGGTTTTATTGTTATATGATGTTATATGCCCATTGAAGAATATGACCATAATTACCCATAATCATTGGTCCCGCCGAATTTAGAACAAAGCCATGTGGTGAGTTTGTAGCCAGGTCACGACCGCACCATACATGATGTTTTGTAGTAAAGGGAATTTTCCCCAAAATAAGGGGTTTAGCAAGATTTGGGGATGACACCTTGCATCCATGAAACAAACATGTTTTTTGACCAAAACCACCATGGAACCAGACACGTAATAGTTGTTTCAAGCGCAAGAATCATCTTCTGCCCCGTATTTAAGAATTCCACGTGTTTTATGTTCATTGCGTGTTTTAGCTGTGCCGATCTTGGATGGATAGTTTGCCTCTTTAGACTCTTGCTATAAACGGGAATATGTTGATTTAACCAACTATTTGTTTGACAGATTTCTAAGATTGGCCATGTTCAATCAAAGATAGTAAGGTTAATCATCTATCCCCATCTAACTATAGTGATACTTACCACATATCCAACTTCTTGTATAGTCATTCGCAAATAGATAGACAAGTGAATCCCTACTAATTTGATGATGACTTTCTTTTACATTTATTTGGGGATCACTATATTTATTAGTTATAAACAACGATATGTTGTGTCCAATAAAATAATGCTTGGGAGAACCCTATTTTCGCGTTTTCAAGGCCACCCTGGTGCTCCCCAAGTTGTGGTCACCACGTCCGGGACGCCAGGGCTTTTATTCGCGGATCCAGAAAATGGTGGTTTCACCATCAATGATATAATGGGAGAATATGGGAGATATACAACCAATAAGGTGGTATATGGGTCAGTCTTTCATAGGGAAGCAGTGGATTTGGAGGTACCCTGTTTTCAGACAAAGCGTCGTATACGTATCAGAGATATTTATACATGGGGCCCATAATATGTATATATATATATATCTAGGATCTATTGTGAGTTGATTCAGATCGTTTCAAGCCACAAGCATGGAAGGCAGGGTCCCATAGCATGTTGGTTACATCTAGTAACTATGTGGTCAAGTGCCCACTTGAAGATCAAAGAACTATATATATATATATATGGGTATAGTCCATTCAAGCGTTCTTTGTGTTGGAACTCTTGAATGGACTATACCGATGTCTATATATATATATATACACATGTAATTACCGGAGTAAGTTTGACATAGGAGATGTTGCATTTGTTTGTGCCATGTTCCACGTTCCAGGAATTCTGGTACATGTGGCCCATCTCCCAACAGGACATCCGTTGCTACATTTGAGACACCTGACCATGGGTGCATCCAGGACAAAGCATGTACCCTCTGGTGAACTAACATAGCAATGGAAAATGGCTATTTATAGTGGATTTTCCCATTAAGAATGGTGATTTTCCATTGCTATGTTAGTTCACCAGAGGGTAAACATAGTTGTACACATTCCAAACCAATCACAAATCACAAATCACATGCTTGTGAAATCTATCCCCACTATATTCCCATGATTTTCCCGTAACCCCATAAATAACATGGTTGCAATTTCTGGTGACCTGCGCTCAGGTGTGAATTTGGGCAATGCCGGGTTTTCCTGGCGTGATTACACGGGGAGATTCTCGCAGGAATGCAATATGAACATCGCCAACAAGATTGGTGCCATATAAAAGAGCGAAGATCTGGAGATTGATTATGATACTTGTACTATTGACTTAAACACAAGCACATTGTAATTATTTAAATTTACATGTATATATATATACATATGTACATATGTACGATGAGGAGTTGGTTACACTCTGTCTTGTCAGGTATGGGAACAGGTGCAGAGCATCAACGATATACAGAACTCAATCCTTTTGGAAGTCATGTATCAGAACGATTCCTCAAAACTCCTCTGTTCATTTGTATGATGATACGGGGGTTTCCTGAAATGGGGGTACCCTCAAATCATCCATTTATAGATGGATTTTCCATTTTAAACTATCCATATTGGGGTACCCCCATGGCCATGGAAACCCCATTCTATGGCTATTAATAACCGGTAACCATGAATTACCCACAGAAGATTCCCGGGATGCCATCGGTCCAGGCTGACGGAACGGCAGGACTTGAGAGATTTCATCTACGGGTTGGTCGGGGAGCCTGGGGACGCCACTGTCAGTTCAGTGGGTGATGGTTTCCTAACTTGTTGTAGAATGCTGTATTATATATATATATATAGATTAGATATAGATGTAGCCATATATACAGTTGGGCCAAAAAGAAGATACTCGTAGTCGTAGTTGCTATTCAGGAATATTTTTTTCGGTACCCCGAAGTTGCTGTAATTCTTTTCAGGGGTTCCAAGTTGGTATTCAGGGGGGTACACAGGACCAGCTGGACCTGTGATGACGATTTCCAGGAATAGTGGAGCTGGTAGATATCTATTGGTAAACATAGAAATACATATATATATATATACATATACCATGTATATAGAATCTCATATACATATATATATATATACACGAATTTATATATAGTATGTATATGTACAAAATATATATATATATACTGTACATATACATATATTATTAAGATGTCTAAGACAAACACGGGTCTTACCGTATTGCCACAGAAGCATTGCCCACGTGACTGCATGGAGTTCCCCCCCGAGGCCACTCAAGAAGTTGCACCCTGCAACTTCACTGGACCGTGTTCGGTTCGGAAGCCACAGCTTGGGATGGGGTGCAGCGAGTAGGGCCCTTGCTTCAAGACAATTCAAAGGAAATCTCCCGTACATGTCTGTACAAGCTGTCTATGGCTGGTGGGCTGGTCATTTTGGGTGAAT